CGGGCAAGAAGCAAACTGAATATGACACACGCGTATTTGGTTTTGTGGTTTGGTGTTATGGCTGCAAGTTCATTGCGCCCATTTTGGTGTTGGTGAGTATGTTGAAGAGACTAGCATAAGCTTACGTTTTAAGAAAGATATTTGAAGTTGGATTTTTTATAAAATCGGATGTTATCTACTAGATACTCTGCTGAAATATGTACATACATATATGTAGACAAAATTAGTCTGTTCCAATAGCAGTCCGGTTTACAGGATTTAGTCAGAACTTCCAGAAAGTCGTTCCTATTGACATAAAACCTGAAAGTGGGAACACTTATGAGAGTAACTGAGCAACTGTTCCTAGTCAGAAGTTACAGGATGTAGTCCGGAGTTTTATTCCTGTAAGTTCATGAAAAGTGTTAAACGATCAGCTGATTTGCATGTGTAAACAAAAACAGAAAGCGGTGAAAGCAAAGAACCTTATATTTGTAAAAAAAAAAATGCATCTGTTCTCCTTTTACTCTCACTTTAGAGAGTAAAATTGCAGTTTGACAGTTCCATAGGTTAGTCCGAAGTTCAAAGGAACAGACTAAATATTTAAAAGAAATACGGATATTAATCGTCCCAAAGCGGAAGTGATGCTTAGTAGCATTATCGATACATCGAGATACTTTATCTTAACTGGTCGATAGCCCTCAACCTTTCTTATCCTGAATGCCGTGCGAAAGACTATCTTAACTCGATGAACTATCTTAACTTTGTATTGACTAAGCGCTCTCAGACAAACTATCCTAACTGAGACGCGCTTATTAGTTGTGTATAAGCTCCATAGCTGGTTACTACAAAGTTAGAATAGTTCATCGAGTTGAGAATGTCTTTCGCATGGAATTCAAGATAGGAAAATTTGACCGCTATCGACCAGTTGAGATAAATGAGCTCGGGGCCATCGAAAGGTATCCAAAGGAATAGCGGTGAATACTATATCACTAAACATATTGCCCAAAATTGTCTATGAAAGTATCTCCAAGATGCCTATAAATATATCAGGGCCTATATCAGAGAATATTTACTCACATGTGTATATCGATAACAATGTGGATTAAGGTATCGATACTATATTGACAAACTTATCGAAAATTATATCGATAAGTAAGCTCATAACGATATCGATATTCATATCGTATCATAATATATCAATATATAAGTAAAGCAAAAAATACCATGTCGATAACGAATTTTTGCGAATATAACTCGTTGTCGATGAAAATAACGTTAACGAATAATGCATGCGAATATAATATTGCGCCGAAGCTTTGATCAGAAATATTAAAAAAGTATGAAGTTTAAATACTCTTGAACTCCTAATGCCAGTCGTGTAAACTTACTACTAAACATAGATAATGTACGTATACCTGCTAACCACCATTAACCTTTCCTCCTGCTTTCATTCCACAACAGATTTTAGCCTATTGTACATTTATGGCACATCCCATCGAACTCATGGACATTGACGAAGAGAAATTTCATATAAATTTGCATATCGCGCGCATTTTCTCATTTCTTGGCATTTTAGTACATTTTGGTAAGCATCCAAAATTTGTAAAGTAACTATTTAAGTTATGTAAATATAATTGAAAGCATTTTCAAATTTCAGTGATGATTTCTGCCAGCTTCGTGCATCGGGATCACTCGCTGTGGCAGCGCAATCCCTTCCGCAATAGCATTTGGTTCTTCACCTGCAGCTGCACACTACTTCTGCATGTAGTTGTTTGTGCAGTGCAGATTTTCCTGCACGACACCTACTTCAAAGAGGCATGTGGCATGTGGCCGGCAATAGTTTTTCTCTACTGTGGAAGTTTGATAAGTCTGACTATCACAGAAATATGCAAGTGGCAGGAAATTAAGTGAGTTTCTCAATAATTTATTTTTAAAATCGATTTTTTTTTTAATGAATTCACAATTGCTTTTGTCACAGGGTAAACACGCGTTATCAGCGGCGTGCGAGACTAGACTTTGGCACCAAGTTGGGCATGAATTCACCTTTTTAAAAAGCGACTGAACAAAAGCGATGAGTATTCAACAATCTAAAGAGACTAATTTCGACATCAAAGAAATAAAAAACAAAACGATGCAAGGACGATGCATTAAAAAGACCATAAACTATTATTATAAAAACTACTTAAAGAACACATTAAAAAAACAAAAAGATAAGCAATTCAAGACGTAGTGCCAAGGCTGCGGCTAAACTAAATAATAACGAAATTATGGAATCACAAAATAAATAAAAAAATCAAACTTATTTGTACTTATGTGTCGTTTTTGAAATGCGAATGCGCCGCTGACACTATTTAATATTAAAGCCTTTCATCAAATTCGCTAACGATGAGCAATATGCATTTACATCCATATGCCAACGAAAAAAAATAATAGCAGTGACCAACTTTGGTTTTTTTTTTTATATGTTTGAAATGTGGATTTATATACATACATACAGTCAACCAATCTTGGCAAACTTTTTATAAAAATATGGTTAATTCTACATCAAAACCCCCAAAAATCAGAGTTCCAGGCCTGGTGGAAAATTAAAGAAAATTCTGTAAATTTTCCATAAAATATTGCACATTTTAATTACATTCTTTAGAACAAAAAATTGAGTATTCACTTTTTTTGCCCATTTAATTTTAGTATAATAAAGTGCAAGTTAGAGGTAGCTAGGAAGGTGTTGCTCATTTTCTCTGTATAAAATTGTTGTTATATGGGAAAAAAATGTGCGACATGCCTTAGAAAAAAATTTGCCAAAAACCAGTGGTAAGTCCTAGCTACTTCAAAGTTGCACTTTATTGCACTAAAATTGAATTTTCTAAAGAAGTGCACACTCAGTAATAAATAATGTAATTAAAAAGTTCAATGTTTTAAAGAAAATTTGCAGACTGCCGTTTGTAAAAGTCGATAATACCGACATATTATGTTCTATTTCAATCGCACTTAAGAAGAAAATAAAAGTTAGTGGCAGCTGCAGCACTAGCTCCAAATGCAAATAATTTTCCTAAATATAAGTGCACACATACATACATATGTTTGTATGTACGTAAATATTTCCTTAAACATTTTCTATTAGCAGCGCATTCGCATTTAAGCGCATATAAAACTCAATAGCATCTAAGTTTTTAGTTGATAGTGTGTGCATTTTTTAACTTACATACATATGTACACTTTCCTTTGCTAATGAACTACATATGTTTATGTTCACATTTTTGTAACGTATTGTACATACACACATATACCATTTAACAAAGAGTT